CTAATACTGTACATATTTTTAGGTAGGGAAGGAATCAAAATCTTTATGCAGGCACTCCTCTACTTATGAACAGGTTAGATTCCTGAGGATTTGTCATAAGTTGAAAACTAACATAGAAAGTACATTTGTACACAGAATATCCACTTACTGTTAGTGTTTGATTCTTCAATGTACTTAATACAGGCTCATTTACTCACTCACTACTGCTTACTAACAGTTGTTTCAAATGCAGTTTTTTTTCATCTAACATATTTTGTTATATAACGTCAAGTTTAGTTTCCATGATAACAGCAATACTTCTTGCATTTTTCTCCATTACTAGATTTAATATTACATTTTGGATGCATTTTTGAAGCACTAATTGTAAAAGTTTATAAAAATTGCAAACAATAGCAAAAAACATTTACTCCAATGTTACTAACTTTGACACTACCTAATGAGCAGCAATGGAACATTAGAATTTACACAATAATGAAAATGACAATATTCAATAGAAATAAATCCATGTTAATCATTAAAAATTTATTTATTACTGGCTAAAGATTACTTTAACACCACCCATGAGAGAACTTTAGAATTTGTGTGATATTTAAATTTTAGATATATGGTCAAATTGTTCATAAGTCTGAAAGATTGTAAGTAGGGGAGCTCATGTAATTAAAGTCAAATGATTGCCAAATTATATCAAGCTATATTACCACCACTATTGTTAATTAAATGCTGAGTAATTTGGCACTAGAGGCAGATGTTAGATGTTATCTCTTACTAATCAAAATCTTTATAATTAACTTTTTTTTAGCTTATGACATTGTTTATCCAGTTTTTGCAGTGATTAAAGTATAATTCAACATTAAAGACACCTAAATTCAGTTACAAAAAACAATTTATTAACTGGACTATTGACCTTACTACAAATCTAACCTACAGATGACCTTTAAACAAGGTCAAAAACGACTTTGTTTAAAATTCATCTGTAGGTTCTTAAGATCTAACAGAAAAATGAAACAAAAACAAATTTAAAATACTGTTTAATCTTTAGAACTTGAAGATGACCTTTAACTTTTTAAACATGAGATCTGCCAAAATTGCCTTAATCTATTCAAAACAAAATCAGCTGAAACAAAAGTTGTTTGGCTGATTTTCCTATAATTTCCATTGTAGTTTGAGGAGTAAAAACAATTTTGTCTCCAGGTGCATAGAAAGAAATTTTCAAACCTTAAATAGTTAAACAAGATTGAAAAAGTTAGATCAGTTAATGAATTGCTTTTGTAACTGGATTTAAGTGTCTCTGAAGTTGATTATACTTCTACTTATATATGTAAATTTCAGATTATTTCTAAACACACTAAAATAACAGTTTAAAACTATTGTAAAAATTATTTTTCTTAAAAATTTTTTATATTTACAATATCTTTCAACATTTTACAATAAATAAAATCATGACTTTAGTTTGTTTTTAAAATTTAGTAATTTCACATCTACAGAGCAGAACGATATATTCTTTGCATTAAATTTACACAATGTACAGACTGATATAAATTTGTCTTTTCAAAACAAATTTACACAAAATATATATATTAAATAAAATATTTATACATAATTATTCCAACAGTATTTCATCTAAAATCATTATTATATTTAAAAGTTTTCTTTCTGTATATGTAATATCTTTGTATTGAGCAAGTTTTTGATTTGATTTACTTGAATCCATAGATATCTGGTTATGATATTCCAACTTACAACTAACAATGCTATCTATTAGTCACTATTATTAAATATAGATAGTGAAAACATTTTTAAAAAGTAAAACTTTACTGGTATTTTTTTTGTAAAGTTTTTTTAATAAGCTATTTAGCTTTAATTATAGTTTTTAAATAAATATATATTGTAGAAATATATTGTACTTAGACACTATTTTATTTGTGTAGTTTTTCAAGTTGTGTGGAAACTTTTGGAATGAGTTAACTGCATGAGTTAAGGACTTGCAGCAGTTTCTAAGTTTTTTCCCTCTCTTTTGCAAAATTTTACATAAGTCATCCTTTATATTAAAATGATCTTTTCACAATAAAAAAGACTATTGATTAATTATATTTCAATCTAACAGCTGCTTTCTGCATAATTTTATTACATATAATTATGCTAATTAATATTTTTTTCATAAATATCTTGTTTAATTTTTCAATTATGTTCTTAATAGAAAAAAATTGTAATTCTTCTTTAATTTAACATTCATTTTTATCTTTATAAATTGTTTTTATTATTATTAAACATTTATATTTGTCTATATCAGTGGTTCTTAACATTTTTCATCTGCTGCAGTTGCACATTTATAATTGGTGGCACACCAATGAATCAGTGTTGCTTCAAAGATGTTCCTATATGTATGAACAAACAATAACATTCATGATCTGTATTATTTATGTAAAAATATACAATAATAATAAACAATTATTAATTTTAATTATTTTTTAAAATTTTGTGGAACCCCTATGAGTAGCTTGCAACATACTGATTTGAGAATATCTGGTCTAGATCATTATTCTATTAAATTGCAATGGTAATTATTTAATAATATTGTTTATTTAAACAAATTCTACTTCTTGCTTAATATCTTCTGTATTGATGGTGTTTCTCAATATATATAAACAATTTCCACACTAAACATCATACAAAGTGCAGTCAAAAAGTTCTGAGACTGGTCCAATAAAAAGTGTCTTATGTATGAATACATAACAATTTATTGAGAGTTATTGCCTTCAAAATAAATTCCTTCTGCAGATATATATATATATAGCATTTTTCCCAATTTTCAAAACATTTCTGGAACTTTTTTGTGACATTGTTAAGCTGTTAAGCACTTGCTGCAGTTCTGTTTGAATGCCATCAATATTCTCAAATCACTGTCCTTTCAGCACTTTTTTCACTTGTGGAAATAGAAAGTCACACAGTACCAAGTCTGATGAATGAGGAGGGTGGGGTACCACAGCCATTTCATTTTTGGCAAGAAACTGTTGAATAGGGATAGCTATGTGAGTGGAAGCATTTTCATAATGAAACAATTAGTTGTGAGATTTCCAAAGATCTTGTCTCTTTCATCTGACATTTTCACGCAGGACCTCAAAGCATTCATATAAAATTTTTATTCATAGTTTGACCTTGTGGAACAAATTGTCAGAGAATAATACCTCTGTATCGAAAAAAATACAATGTGCATGTTCTTGAGACTGGACCTCACTTGGTTTGCTTTGTTTGGTCTGGGTGAGCCATGAATTTTCTACTGAGTCAATTGTTGTTTGGTCTCAGGGTCATAGCCATAAATTCATGTTTTATCTCGTGTAATCACTTTCTTTTCTGCTAGTCTTGCTAAGTTTGAAACAAAATTTCACACTCACATGCTGTTCCTTAAAATAATTTATCTTACAAAGCAATGAAAATAACAAATTGACAAGAACACAGATCTAATCTAAATAGCAAGAAACAAAAACTACATATGATAATGGCACAAAATTTGGCAGGAAGCTAAATAATAATGTCTATTACACATCCTAGTTTGTGCAAGTTCAGCATGTGGCCAATTGTAGCACCATGTCTTGGAACTTTTTGACTGCATCCTGTAAATATCACATATCCTGGATAAGCTGTACTATTGTCTTGTTATAATTTCTTAGTGATAAATAGGATATAATAAGTGTCAAAAGTTACACTTTAAATAGGATATTGATAATTACAGTTTTAAAGACTCAAGTGAAATAACAGTAATTAAGGTTAGATATAAACAAATGTGATGCCTTTATATTGCTAACACTGCCACCATGCTGGACAACCCACAAACGATGGCAGATTTAAAATAGGATGGATAATGATAGTTACCGATCAGAATACAGAATTAAAGAATTTCAGCTATATAAAATATGTTAATTATATTCAAATTTTAAGAGATTCATTATTCCTATTCGTTATATATAAATAAAAAAAAATTATTTAAACAGTGCTTTAAGTTTGTGATATATTCTTTCAGATTCAATTAAATGTGCTATCATCTTTCATGTCTGTCAATGTTAATAGATTTATTAATATAAACTTATATTGCATTATTATTAAGAAACTTTTATAATCAATTTTGGAAATTTTAACATAGTATTGTATTACCAAAATAAGCAAACATGATTAATTGTGAAATGAAAAGGTCTATCAGTGGATGAGTGGATGAAACCAATGAACATTGAGATTTGGACCTAACTCTCAATATTCAGTGTTTGTGCTTGACCAATAGGCAGATCATCTGAAGTTTTCTTGAATTTTCATTACATGTATAATGCCTAAATATAGGTCAGTTTCCTGGGTGAAATAGAAAATCCTTTCAGATTTATATAGCAGGAGGAGGATTGTCCTTGTGTTGTATTGTCTTATCCTATCAAACCAAATAAAAGAATGAAATGAAAAGGTTCATTATGATTTTGATTTAAGAATTCTTTAGAAGAGATTTATGGAGAATTCATTGTAATATAATGCAAAGTGTAGATTTTTGAAGTAAATAGATGATGATGAATAACTTTCTAACTTGAAGGAAAGGTTTAATTAGGCAAATTTAAAAGTCAAAATTATTATAATGTAAAATGACTAAGATAGTTTTAAATAGATAGTTTTAATAAGATAGAGATAGTTTAAGATAGAGATGACTAAGATAGTTTTAATTTTAAATAGTTCTAGCTCCAAATGCATAGAAGTATTATAATGTAACTTTTGTTTAATCTATTTTTGATATATTCTAAAATTATTATTATTACTATAAGACAGCTGCATAATAATTTACTTAAAAATAATTATTTTGCTAAAGTAACAATAAAACATTTGGTTAAGTTATCCTGTATTATGCCTGTATGTAAATCAATAAATTTGTAAAATATAGAATTTATTAAAATATGATATGTTTGTTTTACATTAGTATTTTAAATGAATAATAATAAAAGTTTTAATAATTTGTTACATTTGATTTATAGGAACATTTGTTCAAATAATAGACTTAACAGATCGTCTTATATATAGAATTTGCCCTTTTGTGGCTGCAGGAGTAGTAATTGGATCTATTTATTGGACAGCAGTAACTTATGGTGCTGTTACAATTATGCAGGTAAAATTAATTTTGCTTATAGACTTACAAAAACTACTCTTTTGGTTTCAGTCTTAATAATGTGTGTAGTAATATGAATATAAATGGCTCAGGATTACATACCTGATATGTACAGAGATTCTTGGATTTGAATCCTATTCTAAGCTGTTCATTTGCAGATAATTCTGAAGTTATTATTTGAAATGATAAACCATTTAATAATTAAACTGGTTTAACAGATGGAAAAATTTCTCTAGCATAATAACAGAATTATTCCAATCATTATGACATTTACTAATTAATTACAAAAATAAATCAAAAATATTTCCTAAGCTGGAAATGTTGGCATTATTCATTATATTTGTCTTTTATTATTATTAAAGTACTTTAATATTTTTTTGGATATTTCTATCCATCATCAAAGTTAGTACTGTATTAAGAATCAGCCTTAAATATAAAAATTTATATTCAATAAGGTATCAAAATAGTTTGAAAATATTTCTATAATTGAAAAGTATAAACTTCTATATTTGAGTCTGATACTTATTATTCTGTTTAAAATATTTTGTTTTTGTAGTTAATTAAAAGAAAAAAATAAAGTAATTGTTAATCAAACTTTCAATTTTCACTTCAGACTGCAAACTGAAGAGGATTTGAAATAATAAAACTTTATAAATTATATTTTTAAATAAATTTATTTAATTTTAAAATAAACACTTAAAACAAAGATAATCATATAGATTTTTCATTGCAGGTCCTTGGTCATAAGGAAGGATTGAGTGCTATGGAACAAGCAGATCCAATTTTTTTATTAGTGGGTTTACCTACTATACCTCTTGCATTAATTATAAGTAAACTGACTCGATGGGATGATATTGTTTTGAATTTATGGAGGAAGCATTCCTCACGTATTCCTGCAATAAAATATATTTTTGGTGAAGATAATATTTGTAATCGAGAGCGATCACCAACAGAAAGATCAGCATATTCTGACCCTGTATCATTCACTCGATTACTTTGTGGTGCTCTTATGCTGCCAACTTTTGCATCTTGTACAGGAAAACTTTTCTTTGGATATGTTATGTCTAATTTGCAGAGAACTATATGGGTAGGTTAAATTTAATTTTCTATATTATTATTTATAAAATTATTTTTTTTTGTAATTTAATTTAAAAAAAATTGGTAATAAAAGTATTTATGAAATAAACTTCTAAACACTGCACATCATTTAAGTTCTGTGACAAATCACATTTCCTATTTTATCTCATGAAAATATTTCAAAATAAAATTTCTTCTTATTTTTCATCATTCTTTCTTATTTTTATTTTTAAAGAAAGTGGATAAGAAGTGAACAGTTATGGAAATGAAATATGATTTATTTGTTATTGATCTCAATATAGCATAAGACTATTTTATTCTATAAATTAATTGTAATTAATGTAAAAATTATCAACCATATTATTTCTTCTTGGATAATAATAATAAATTTATCTTTTTAGAAAGTTTAAAATGTTTAAAAATACTTTTTCAGGGTGGAGTAGCATTTTTAATGGTGAAAGGAATATTTAAATTATATCTTCGTCAAAAACATTATGTACGTTTATGTCAAAGAAAAATCTTAAATTATAAAGAAGGAACCCAGTCTAATCAAGAAGAACGTCTTGTTATAATTTCTTAGTGATAAATAGGATATAATAAGTGTCAAAAGTTACACTTTAAATAGGATATTGATAATTACAGTTTTAAAGACTCAAGTGAAATAACAGTAATTAAGGTTAGATATAAACAAATGTGATGCCTTTATATTGCTAACACTGCCACCATGCTGGACAACCCACAAACGATGGCAGATTTAAAATATGATGGATAATGATAGTTACCAATCAGAATACAGAATTAAAGAATTTCAGCTATATAAAATATGTTAATTATATTCAAATTTTAAGAGATTCATTATTCCTATTCGTTATATATAAATAAAAAAAAATTATTTAAACAGTGCTTTAAGTTTGTGATATATTCTTTCAGATTCAATTAAATGTGCTATCATCTTTCATGTCTGTCAATGTTAATAGATTTATTAATATAAACTTAAACTTATATTGCATTATTATTAAGAAACTTTTATAATCACTGCCAAGTAAAACAATTTTGGAAATTTTAACATAGTATTGTATTACCAAAATAAGCAAACATGATTAATTGTGAAATGAAAAGGTCTATCAGTGGATGAGTGGATGAAACCAATGAACATTGAGATTTGGACCTAACTCTCAATATTCAGTGTTTGTGCTTGACCAATAGGCAGATCATCTGAAGTTTTCTTGAATTTTCATTACATGTATAATGCCTAAATATAGGTCAGTTTCCTGGGTGAAATAGAAAATCCTTTCAGATTTATATAGCAGGAGGAGGATTGTCCTTGTGTTGTATTGTCTTATCCTATCAAACCAAATAAAAGAATGAAATGAAAAGGTTCATTATGATTTTGATTTAAGAATTCTTTAGAAGAGATTTATGGAGAATTCATTGTAATATAATGCAAAGTGTAGATTTTTGAAGTAAATAGATGATGATGAATAACTTTCTAACTTGAAGGAAAGGTTTAATTAGGCAAATTTAAAAGTCAAAATTATTATAATGTAAAATGACTAAGATAGTTTTAAATAGATAGTTTTAATAAGATAGAGATAGTTTAAGATAGAGATGACTAAGATAGTTTTAATTTTAAATAGTTCTAGCTCCAAATGCATAGAAGTATTATAATGTAACTTTTGTTTAATCTATTTTTGATATATTCTAAAATTATTATTATTACTATAAGACAGCTGCATAATAATTTACTTAAAAATAATTATTTTGCTAAAGTAACAATAAAACATTTGGTTAAGTTATCCTGTATTATGCCTGTATGTAAATCAATAAATTTGTAAAATATAGAATTTATTAAAATATGATATGTTTGTTTTACATTAGTATTTTAAATGAATAATAATAAAAGTTTTAATAATTTGTTACATTTGATTTATAGGAACATTTGTTCAAATAATAGACTTAACAGATCGTCTTATATATAGAATTTGCCCTTTTGTGGCTGCAGGAGTAGTAATTGGATCTATTTATTGGACAGCAGTAACTTATGGTGCTGTTACAATTATGCAGGTAAAATTAATTTTGCTTATAGACTTACAAAAACTACTCTTTTGGTTTCAGTCTTAATAATGTGTGTAGTAATATGAATATAAATGGCTCAGGATTACATACCTGATATGTACAGAGATTCTTGGATTTGAATCCTATTCTAAGCTGTTCATTTGCAGATAATTCTGAAGTTATTATTTGAAATGATAAACCATTTAATAATTAAACTGGTTTAACAGATGGAAAAATTTCTCTAGCATAATAACAGAATTATTCCAATCATTATGACATTTACTAATTAATTACAAAAATAAATCAAAAATATTTCCTAAGCTGGAAATGTTGGCATTATTCATTATATTTGTCTTTTATTATTATTAAAGTACTTTAATATTTTTTTGGATATTTCTATCCATCATCAAAGTTAGTACTGTATTAAGAATCAGCCTTAAATATAAAAATTTATATTCAATAAGGTATCAAAATAGTTTGAAAATATTTCTATAATTGAAAAGTATAAACTTCTATATTTGAGTCTGATACTTATTATTCTGTTTAAAATATTTTGTTTTTGTAGTTAATTAAAAGAAAAAAATAAAGTAATTGTTAATCAAACTTTCAATTTTCACTTCAGACTGCAAACTGAAGAGGATTTGAAATAATAAAACTTTATAAATTATATTTTTAAATAAATTTATTTAATTTTAAAATAAACACTTAAAACAAAGATAATCATATAGATTTTTCATTGCAGGTCCTTGGTCATAAGGAAGGATTGAGTGCTATGGAACAAGCAGATCCAATTTTTTTATTAGTGGGTTTACCTACTATACCTCTTGCATTAATTATAAGTAAATTGACTCGATGGGATGATATTCTTTTGAATTTATGGAGGAAGCATTCCTCACGTATTCCTGCAATAAAATATATTTTTGGTGAAGATAATATTTGTAATCGAGAGCGATCACCAACAGAAAGATCAGCATATTCTGACCCTGTATCATTCACTCGATTACTTTGTGGTGCTCTTATGCTGCCAACTTTTGCATCTTGTACAGGAAAACTTTTCTTTGGATATGTTATGTCTAATTTGCAGAGAACTATATGGGTAGGTTAAATTTAATTTTCTATATTATTATTTATAAAATTATTTTTTTTTGTAATTTAATTTTAAAAAAATTGGTAATAAAAGTATTTATGAAATAAACTTCTAAACACTGCACATCATTTAAGTTCTGTGACAAATCACATTTCCTATTTTATCTCATGAAAATATTTCAAAATAAAATTTCTTCTTATTTTTCATCATTCTTTCTTATTTTTATTTTTAAAGAAAGTGGATAAGAAGTGAGCAGTTATGGAAATGAAATATGATTTATTTGTTATTGATCTCAATATAGCATAAGACTATTTTATTCTATAAATTAATTGTAATTAATGTAAAAATTATCAACCATATTATTTCTTCTTGGATAATAATAATAAATTTATCTTTTTAGAAAGTTTAAAATGTTTAAAAATACTTTTTCAGGGTGGAGTAGCATTTTTAATGGTGAAAGGAATATTTAAATTATATCTTCGTCAAAAACATTATGTACGTTTATGTCAAAGAAAAATCTTAAATTATAAAGAAGGAACCCAGTCTAATCAAGAAGAACCAAATGATAATTAAGATAGTTGATTTCAAAACTTAAAATTTATATAATAATTGATGTATTATAATAAAGTAAAATATTTGTATTAGAAAAAATTTTTTGATGTTTTTAAAGTTTAATTATTAATTTTTATTTAATAAAAATGAATGCACTAGAAAAATATAGTACAGTATATTTTTTTAATACCAACTAATTATATTTTAAAACATAAATTATATATATGTATTTTTAATTGTTAATGTGTGTAAATGTGATTGAACCAACTTTTTTATACTAACTAGTTTTTACTGTTTTTTTCCTTATTTATATTTTGTATCAATTAGATTTGTATTACCACTTAAAATATCCACTTTTTAAAACTTGCTTTTTTAAAACTCTCTCATAACTTTTATACAGCAAAAACCTCTCTAAAACAATAATACTACCTAGAATTTTCTGTTTTACACAAGATTATGTTTTTATTAATCGCAAAAGATAAAACTTGAGAAACGTTACAACTCATATTTGGAACTGCTTTTACTACAGTATAAATGTTTTATATTTAAAAGACATGTTGAAAAAAACTAAAATGTATATGGTTCGTAGAGAAAAACATTTGTGTAAGAACTTGATATCCACAAAGGGATTAATTGCCCTTTATTACAATTAAACAGTATTAATTAATTAAGAATTTAGTTGTTGTTATATTAAAAAATTTCTCATTACTCAAGTTACATTATGCAATTAGCACTCAAAATGTCTCTCATTTGTTTTAGACAAATCTCTCAACATTCAATTCTGTTTACAAAACTTGTTTGATCTAATATGTTTCAATAAATTTTTCTTTAAAAATCTTCATTTCATTTTAATTCTAAAAAAAAGTATTGATAATTGCTTTTCTAGAAAATTTTTTTTTTTTTTTAAATTTTAGAATTTTCATCAAAGACTACTACACATAATCAAGCAAATTTTAAGATTTTTTTCACTTATTTGAACATGTGTAGTGACAATTCATATTTTATTTCGACTTCATCTTAAGATTGAAGTAGCTAGAAAAAATTTAATTTAATGTTTAACAATTTGTTTATGTAATTGCATTTCTTCTGATTTCTTTCAATACAAAATAATTTTTGTATGCCAATTTGTGTTAAAAGCTAGAGGTATTTTGGTTTTTAATTGAAAAAGTGGAATTAAAAAATAAAATTGAAATAAAATTTTTGTAAATAATATCAATATAAATTTATTAAATTTGCTGATAAGTAAGTCATAATTGTCACTCCTGATTCTTTAACCAAAATTAAAATATTTTGTTTAAATATATCCAATTATAGTACTATAATTGGTTTATCATATTATTTTTAAGGTCTGGAACCAGTCTTCCATTTTTCCATATGGACAGTACTTTTGTTTCATATGGATTTTTGGAAATATATCTTTTGTACAAAAACAGAATTGAGAATAATTTAAAACAGTTAATATTTTAATATTTAATTTAATATTAAACACATTACTCTGAGGTTTTATTTTTCATTTAGGCAAGTTTTTGTAGAGTTTATTTTAGACAGATTTTACTTATTTTGAGATTCATTGATACAAAATCACAATATTCACAAATTAGAATTAATAATACAATTATTTAAGATAATTTTCATACCAGTATTTGATAAAATTTGATATTTTTAGATTACCTTGGCCATTTCTGTCAATAAATCAACCTGTATCAGTGGTGGTGTTGCATCTGTTGCTAATGCAGTAACATATCTATTTCTATGAGTTTGCTGCTCTAGCTTGATGATCTCATTCTGTGGCATATTAAACCATATATTGAGAAGTTTTAAAGAATGATTAATAACAACTCTTACAAGGTCATAGCTAGACTAACTACAGTAGGAGTGGGTCTAACAAATTGTGGGACTTTTTACTGAAGTTCTGGGATATAGAGTATCCCAGGAAAGGAGGGTTTGCAGACCTAACCCTGAAAAAGTTTTTAAAATATACTCTATATATCTACAGTATGTAAAATACTTAGCTTAAAATTGTCATGATGCTATTTACCATCACAAAGAAAATAAAATAGAAACAGTAGCACACAGAATCATCATGGAATTTTTGAAGAAGTCAGTGAAGCAAGTGAAATGTTGAGTGAAGCAGTAAGAGGTGGCCTGAGAAAGGAGCAAAGTATGCATGGGTTGAACAAAGTGAGTGGGAATTGGGTTGCATGAAGCAATTGGGATAGAGGGTTGCCCTTTGAGGAGTTGAAAATTTTTGTCATGAATAATCTATATTGGGAAAAGTCCGTAGGGCAAGTGAGTGAAGTGAACCATGTAATTGTCAAATTAAACATTTTTTTCTGTGAGTTGTTCAGAAAAATTTTGATTATCAACTGATTCAAAATAAGAATGTTTTTGTTATGGAATCNTTACATGGATGAATAGCGCACTTTGTGCCAGAATGCTAATGCTACCATCTCATTAGAGATGTATTCACCGCTCTTCTGTAGCCAAATTATAGTTACAACAATATTATATATGTAAATATTTATATTTATATTTATATTTATATTTATATATATAAAATACTAAGCTTAAAATTGTCAAGGCACTTTTTTCAACACAAAAAAAATGAAATGGCAGCATCAGGAATTGCTGAAATTTTTGTTATGAATAATCTATATTGGGAATAAGGGGACAAAACTCTAGTATAATATAATACTATTAAATAGGGTATGTATAAAATAGCACAAAAATATTTAACATTTGAACATTAAAAACTATGCATTTATCTAAAATAATAATCAAGAAGACTTTTGTCATTTGGAACAGTGGACAGGGGTACCCTGGCCCCCTCTGTCTGATGGCTTGAATCCCTATGGGCTACAACTCAAAGTGGAGTAGACAAGTCATATTATGGTTCATTTCCTGGAATTAACAATCACACTTAAGGACAGTTGTATAACCACAGAAATATTTAGGAAACCAGAATACCATTTGTTTTACATTCTGGCAGGTTTATGTGATCCTTTCATCTTTAACATCTTGTCATTCACAGCTCTCATAAGATGTGTATTTTCACACTGTTCAAGATTGATCAGACATCTAGTTTGGAAATATAAGAATAGGAATCTGAACAAAAATGCAAGCCAAAAGCAAGGAATACCGAGGTTGTTAATTATAATGAGGAATTATTTATTGTGACATTGTTATTTATACAATACCAGACTGCAATTTTTAATCATATTTTTAATGTATTTAATAAATATATGCTCTCCACCTCAAATTAGTAGTGGCTGTACAGTACATCATACTTTTCCTTTAACAATTGAGTCGTGACAGTCATCTATTAACTGCTTTCAAGGGAAAGTTTTGAATTGAAATAATGTGACTTATGATTTGCATTGAAGGTTTTTATGTAGTTAACAGGATTTTAGTCCTGCCCATAAGGTTTCCATATCTGGTCTCATCTTTCATCTAATTCCATTCTTGAGATTAAGGAAAGACGGATGACAGTGGAACTTTATAGGTCTACAATTTTTTCAAATTGTAGCACAATCAAATACTCAAAAGCATATGTAAAGACATACATATTGCTAGGATAACTAATATGATTTACAGGTGGACAAGATGATACAACTAACTTGTCACTTGGCGGAAGGTAAAATATCTCAACACTTAGCATTGTGATATTTTACCTTCCGCCAAGTAATATGAAAACAATAAATTTTACCATTTATTGTTTTCATAAGTAATATGGAAGAAAATTTGCAGATGTTAAAGATTATTACTAATAGAGTACAGAAATAATGAAAGAAATGGTTGCTGGACAGGCTTAGCCAAAGAAAGGAAGTAAAATTAGAGAGTGGATGTGTAGGAAGTGGAGTCAGATGGTATTAGTGAAAGGGAAAGAAGTTAGTGGAGTGAAAAATGGGATCTATGAGCAGAGTTAGCTCATCCCCAGAGACAGCATGCAAACCAGAAGCACTCCTGGAAGAATCTGAGGAGCATTCAGGCCTGTTTAATGAGAGCAGAAATATAAAATACAGTTTTACAAAAATACAAAATACATAAATAATAAAAAATGTAAATGAAAGTGTAGAAAAGTGCAAAAAATACAATTTAAAATACACAAATATGCAATACATAATTAAAATTATTATTTGTGTGGCAGGGATGGCATATATTGTCTTTGAGACATTCCCAAGTTTAATGTATAAAATGTATAAAAGTAAAAATAAAATAAACATTACAGAAAATCAGTAGATACAACAGTAACAAAATACAAAACTTTAAAATAAAGATGCAATAAATTTAAATTTATTATATGTGATTACAGTAATTTCTATAGATTCTTTAACAGTGCATAAAGCTATTTAGAGTAGGTTGAGATGGAAGGTTGCTTACAGGTTGAAGTTGCAGCTCTCCATTGTTTTGGAGTGCTTGTTTGGAGAGTGCACATGCAGGATATGATGGGGTAGAGGATGCTGGGAAGTGTGCTTGGAGTGTCCAAGTTTGAAGCTGTTTGTTTTTCCTTCTATTATTAGCCTTTTTATTTTTGTCTTTATTCCCTTACGCTTTTATTGTTACATGTCATTAATATTTGTAGTTTTTAACAGGAATCTTTGATAAAGGGAAAGTTATCATAAGTTCATATTGAACATTACTGTAAGCATATAAGTAAATAATAAAAGTAAAAAAGAAACTTAGATGGTTGGTAATAGAAGTTTCTCAAGAATATACAGTTTTCTGCTTCAAATTATTTATCAACAAAGCTAGATTTTATGAGTCGTTTTTCTCATAAACATATACTTTATTATTGAACATAAAATAAAATACATTGATATTATTCAGTTTCAAAAATCTTAGTTTGAGTCTAGGAAAAAATAATACAAATTTTAATAAAAAGTAACAATTATAAATTATAATTTTTTTTTAATTTTATAAAATTATAATTTTTATTTATAGTAAAAAGACTAAGATAACTATTATGTAAACACTTCTATCTAAGCCAAAACTAATTTAGCTTTAACAACACCTTAAATATTTTTTTCAGCAATACTATAATTTATTTAAACAAATGTTTTTGACCCTTTTCATAGGTCTGCACTAGGTTTAAACAAACTTGAACATTCAAACTGATTCTATTAGAACTTTCAGTTCAAATCTTCATT